TAATACTAAAAGTACACCAACGACTATTAAAAAAAAAATTCTAAATCGTGATTTCGATTGCAAAAATAGCACGCGAACTCTTGAAACAGCATTACTCCTTGCTATAAGCGGGAAAGAATTAGTGCTATGTGCTAGCCGACTGTGATGTAAAATGTCAATGCAATTTTCAAGATTCTATAAATTAGGTCAATGTCGACAAAATATAAACTTGGCACTTAAGGTGATACTAGCAGAAATGACTTATAAAATAGTAACTGAGATTACCGCAATCATTGCTGGCCACGTTAATTAAGTAGACATATTAAAGTAATACTTTGGGTATTGAAAATTCACGTAAACAAACTTCATTTTGGATCTTTCGTAAACACCTGCTGGAAAATCTTAGACACAAAGACCCTTCTATAACATGCAAGACGCGTGTGCACAGAAGAAGAGCTGCACTGTCTTGCTTGCTTAGCGTTTCAACTCGGTGTAAAACGAGGGGCATTAGCGAGAGCAAAGAAAAAGTGTTTCTCTCTAGTCCTTGTAGTATTAGTTGAGACAAAATATCAGGATACTAGACTACGTTTTGATTCCGCACGTGCTGTTTGAATTGTCACTTCTTTTTCGATTTGAGCTTGTTGAAATTTACCTTCTGCCGCTCAAACGCGCATTTAAGATTTATATCTCAAAAAGTCGCAAAACTGCGCTGGCGAGCGTCTAGGTAATAAATGAGAAAGGACGACTGAAGTTTCTCTGCGTCTTGAAACCTTTTTAACACATAAAGAAATCGTTTAGTGCAGCATAAAGTAACAGCTGCTTAATTATTGCAAAATCGTGCCGATCCCTTCTTCCTCCTTTGAAGAGATCAACTTTCCTCAGATTCTTCACCATTGCACCTACGTGGAACACCTTACTGAATATTGTTGCGATAATTCGCGTTTTTGCAGAAAATTTAAGGAGAAATGCTTGAAGCGAATTTCTTCGCTACATTTGGTTTTCCTGCTTGACATCGTGGTCCAATATTTTTCGCAACTCCG